AACAAGGTGTGTCGGAAGAGGAGTACAAGAAGTTCAATGTATGGGCTAAGGGAGATGCCAAAATGAAGCTTTGCATTTCAAACAATGTCTCGTCATCAATCTCATCTCAGCTGAATAACCTCAATACTGCTAGAGAAATGTGGGATATGCTTGCTAACCAATACGAAAGTTCTGGAATAGTTATGAATCAGCAGGCCATTGCTAAGTATATAAATCTTAGGCATACAGATTACCCCTCAATAGACGAATTTATCATAGCTTTCCAAAACGCGATTGATAACTTAAATCGCCTAAACATCCCTCCTCCTGAATCATGGCACCCGCTAGTCTTTCTAGAAGCATTGAAGGATTCATATCCAGTCTGGGCAGAACGGCAAAGAGCGGCCTGCAGGGAAAAAAGGTCAATATCTCTCAACGAACTAATACATGACATTAAGGACAAAGCACGAGCCGATAGCAAATCTAGTGGAAGCCAAATGTCTCTCTATGTGAAGAATAATGATAAGAGCAAATCTAGACCAAAGCCTATAGAGTGTAAGATCTGTGGAAACTCAAAAGCTCGGCACGCAAAAGGAAAGTGTCTTGAAGATCCCAAAAATAAAGACCTTCTCAAGCAGTGGGAGGATAAACACAAGAAAAAATGGAGAAAGTTTAAGGATTAAAGTTATCATAGTTCCGGTGGTAAAAGCAAAGTAATAGACGATGATACCGATAATAACACTCCACGATTTGGAGGCCTCGCCTGTATTAATATGTCTGTCTTTGTCGCAAACAACTCCGATCGTTGGCTTCCTGATACAGTTGCCTCGTCACATATTGCAAATTCCCTGGATAAGTTTGACTACTATGAGGAAGTTCCTAATCTACCTTTGATAACGACAGCAAATGGACCTGCTCAGCCGCGGGGCCTTGGTACAGTCACTCTTCACTGTAAATTATCAGATGGGGAAGACAACCCCTTTGAATTAAAGAACGTCTTGTACCTACCAGAGTGTCCGATAAATCTTTTTAGTGGCGATAAACTACTAAAAGTAGGAGGATATATGAGAGATGGTAAAATGTTCGGCCCCGATGGAATTGAGTTTGCCACTTACAATAACTCTCTTTACATCAATGAATAATTTGTCACTGTAGCACTCCCGATAATAGCTCACCATTCAAAACCTAGCATCGACCTATGGCACCGTCGACTTGGTCATCTAGGTCTAAGAAATGTCAAAAAAACCGTAAAAATAACCACTGGAATATCTTTTGATGCTGATACGTCAACAATTCCTTCAAGTATTTGCGAATCGTGTGAGCTATCCAAACCTCTCAGACATGTAAGAAAAAGTGTTTCATCCCGACCTCGGAATCCTTTAGACTCAGTTTCAGTAGATGTTTTAATTATAAATCCAGTCGGGAAGACCTTGATCGATGATTCTTGGGTCGCCGTACAATACTGTACAATACTGTACGATGTTTACAGATGCAGCAACGTCTTTGCGATGGGGATATTTTCATAAGGAAAAGAATGGCGCAACAGAGGCCATAAAATACTTCAATTCCTTAGTGAAAACTCAGTATGATTCTGTAATTAAATGCTGGAGATTAGACTGTGGGAAGGAATACTCACCTAAGATGTTAGGGGAATTGGCTGCTGACTTGGGCCAAATCATCGAAACTACGACTCCTTATTTTCCGGAGCAGGATGGACGAGCTGAGCGATCTATTGGCATCATAATCTCCAGAGTTCGCACAGTCTCCATCGAAAAGAATATTCCAAAGTTCCTCTGGCTGAGTTAGTGAGATCCCAACTTCACATAGCAAATCGAACCGCCACCTCAGTACTGAACGGAGAAACACCCATTCAAGCGTTTAACCGTCATTTCACGGGAGTTGATGAAAATTCTGGCTTATCTCATCTGAGAGTTTTGGGGTGCAAAGTCTACGTCCGGATTCCGGTTGAAAAAAGGGTTCTATCCCAAAAGCTAGACAAGCGAGCGGAAATCGTCATCTTGGTCGGTTATGAAGGACAGCACATTTACCGTATATTTTGTTGAAGCTTTGTCGTGGAGTGATAGATATGAGAGTGAGGTTTATGGGTCACGATGTATGAGATAACTGAGGTGCGGATGTATGAGTTCCTTACTATTGTTGTTGTACTAGTTAGGGTTGTATTGTCTATATACAAAAAGGATTTCTCCATCTACAAGTGGGCCAGATCGCTTAGATCTGGCTAGCGGCTTTCGCCATCCTCTTCCTTCTCCCCCGCATGGCATCACGTGCTATACAACTACTGCTCACCATGAAGTCCGAGGATGAAAAGCGTTAGATTACAACATATTTATCCCCTCACGAAGAAGGGTGATTCGGTCTTCGACTGTGCGGTTTGACGAGAATAGCAGTCTAACTTCTACACCTCCTGATGAAGAACTCTAGGAACCCATATCTTATCTCCCTAAAATTAACGTTGTTGAAAGTAGTGGCGAAGAAACAAGTACTTCCAATCAACATGAGTTCTCCCCAAACATACTCACCCCTTTTGAGCACCTAAGTTTTGATAGACATCAAGAGGATAAAGAACTTGAAAGAGTGGAAAATGAGGTTATTGAGGCTGGAGATGAAGAGGATGGAGAAACTCGACAGGATGAAAATTTACTTATGGAACATTTCGATGATCCGCCAGTATCAACGACAGCCGTGTCACGAGGTAGACCGCCCGAAAGTAAGAATAAGGTGTACCAGAAAGTAAATCGAGTTACTCGTAGCACAGCTGAAAGCTTCGTGCCAGATCAAGGAGCAGCCTTTCTTAGTCTTGTGGCTGCGTCACAGTCTCTTCTTACCGTTGACAATACATCCGATCCAAAGACCCTTGTAGAGGCAATGAGTTGCAAAGATTCTTGGAATTGGAAGAAGGCAATTGACTGCGAATACAGATCACTTGCAAAGAAAAATACATGGTCACTTGTTCGACGATCTGGCCTACCAACGGGAACGAAAGTACTATCAGGTAAGATAGTTCTGAAGACGAAACGTGGAAAAGAGAGTGAAATCCTGAAGTACAAGGCACGCTGGGTTGTTAGAGGATTTGAGCAGGAGTACGGACGTGATTACACACAAACATACGCAGGTGTTTGCCGTAATACGACCTGGAAAATTGCCATTGCCTTAGCAGCCAAGTTTGACTTAGAGATTGAGCAGATGGATGCCGTCACAGCTTTTCTTAATATTGATACAGATGACGATATTTACGTCGAAGTACCACCAGGATGGATAGAGCCGAGCACTACTTCAACTCGTCCGTTTGTATGTAAGCTTGAAAAAGCTTTATACGGTTTGAAGCAAGCTCCCAGACTGTGGCAAAAGCACCTTCGAAGTTGTCTGGCTGATATAGGATTTAAACCACTAGCTTCAGACAACTGTCTGTATCTTAGTGAGTCAACAGGAATTCTTATTGTTACCCAAGTTGATGATTTCCTGATCATTGGAAGAGATATTGATCAGATTAATCGACTTAAAAAAGGGCTTGCGGAAAAATTTCAGCTTGAAGATCTTGGACCTGCTAGCTACTTTCTTGGTGTTCTTATCACAAGGGCCCGCTCTCGAAAAAGACATTACCTCACTCAAGACGCCTATGTGCGCCAAATTCTTGAGAGATTTGGCCTCGAAAATTGCCGACCTGTTGATACACCAATGGCTGCTGGATTCGAAAAATTCCTAGTTCCTAATGTTGACATTGCAACATCAGTACAGATCAAGCAATACCAGTCTAAAGTTGGTTCTCTTTAATATTTAGCTATCCATACTCGACCAGATATAGCTTTTGCTTGCTCAGCGTTCTCCAGATACCTGTCAAATCCATCTCCACAACACGTTAAAGGTGTTGATAGAATATTTCGCTATATCAAAGGCACTAGTAACTTAGGAATTGTGTATGATGGAAATAGCCTGAATCCACATCTTCACGGTTACTGTGACTCGGATTGGGGTGGTGATAGGGACACACGCCGATCAACTGGCGGGAGCGTATTCTTTCTGGCTGGAGGGGTTACATCTGCTTCATCAAAAAGTCAGCCCAAACTCTCATTATCGTCTACAGAAGCAGAATATTATGCATATAGTTCATCCATACAAGAAGTTCTATGGATTCAGCAAATAATGGCCCAGATGAAGTACTCAGGAAAGGATATAGTGTCGACTCGCATCTATTCGGACAACCAGAGCAGCCTCGCCCTCGGAAATAACCCTGAGCTATTTCAGCGGACCAAACACATTGATATTAAGCATCACTTTATACGTGAACACATCGATGCTGGGAGAGTAGATGCCCGCTACATATCAACACATGAAATGGCAGCTGATGGACTAACTAAGTCACTCTCGGAAAAGAAACAATCTAAATTTGTTGAGATGTTGAACTTGAGAGTTGTAAAAATTGATTAGCGAAGGTCTGACCTGGAAATCCCAGTCGCGGCTTCAGACTGAAGGGGTGTGTTGAAGTATCAGTCACTGAGCCCTAGAATACATGAGACTTGATTAGTAAGCTGGTCTAAACTAGGGTCTATAGAGTGTAGCGTAGGTGTAGAACTTTAGAGCACAACAATATACATTATAAGCTTCAGGCATTTACCGGCAGTACAGTCTTCTAACCATAACTTCTTCAATAACTATTCGATATTACATTTCAAACATGTTATAGGCCATGCTTTTGTAGGTGCATTATTCTACACTTCGCTGGTAGGCAGTTTGCCAACATGCTATCACACTACAAAGGTTTATCATCAGACCACTTTCTCAATTGATTTTCATTTAGCTATTTAGCTACTGAGTTTTGCTTCGGAGATTCAGGTTCGTTACGTGTCGCTTTTTCAGGATGTTTCGCTTGTGTTCTATGCAGGTAGTCAGTATCAGCAATAAGTAACATTGATTATTGTTTGAAGGTTTCAGATGCGTCGCTTCAGCATCTTTTATGAAGCGAGAAAATATTATTAATAAAAGATGTAACAGATTCCTTTCACTTACATTTTCAATGCCTCGATAGCTCTATCAAACGCCGCAATGATAGGTTCGTATAGTTTGTTGGGGTCCTCAAGATTTCCTGTTCGCGTCTTTATATTTGAATTAAATATTAAGTCCCTGAATTCCTCAGCTAGAACCTTGACATCATCAAACATCGGCGAAAATTTAAACAATACTTTTTCGAAGCTACCTAGAGTCATGTAGTATTCCTTATGTAAGTGTATTTCTTGGGCGGTCCCTGTGTACCATTTTGATAGGAAAACTTCATGCGGGTTTGTGCCTTTATTCCATCCACAGTTAATGCAGACCCAGATTAAGACATACAAGAACGACTCGAGATCATGTCGGTAAGTGTGGTTGACCACTGCACCCGTCGTCGCAAAGCTGTTACTCAAAATGTCCAGTGCAATAAATTGCATCGTGCCTGTCACCACTCGATCCTTTTCTTGAACTTTTCCATCTTTCAACAATGTTGCCAAGTCCAGATCTATCAAGACACCACCCAGCTTGTCACTCGTCTCAATGCCAGTCAATAGAATATTATTCACCGAGATGTCGCGATGTAATATCTTAGCGTCCATCAGTAATGACCGATGCGCCTTGATGGCATCGCTAATCCCGATGATCAGTTCTAGCGCCGATCTAAACTTATCAATCGGCCGCCCGTAAGGCGAGATCCCGGCAGCGGTAAATTGACGGTCACGTGGAATAATGACTTCAGTGTTTACCATTTTTACCGCTTTCGTACTACATGATCTAGCATTGGCACTTGACTTTGGTGGATTTGGAGCCTTTTCAGGGAGTGAGCTTGGTCCCGCAGAATTATTCATCGCAATTAAGCCGGCGTTACTTGACAGTTGAACTCTCTTCAATCTGTCGTTTACTTCGGCATCATCGGCAGTTTTCCTTTTACCGGAAGATTGATTGACTGAATAAGCAGAGCCTTCCACGATCATTGCCCTGCCAGAGTTTGGAATTTTGAGCGCCTGCAATGAGGAAACAGGTGGATTCAACTCCGTAACTTGTTGGGTCACGGTTGTATCTGTGTTGTAATTAGTAAGAACTTCCATTTCCACGTAATGATTTTGCCTACTTTCTTGCATTGATCGCGCTTTTTTAATTGATCCAGCCATCTCTTTTTCAGCTTGAAGTGCCTCCCTCTTTCGCTTTCGGCTCAGTTGGTTATTCACGCTTTCCTTCGGAATCCGTGTCATCTCTCCACTTAAGTCGTATGGCGTAGTCATGATCTTCTCCGTCGGACGAGTGTCTTTGACCATGCTCTTGGTGAACAGAAGACCTTCGCGAAGCTGGCTGATTTTTACCAGATTAGCTGATCCAAGAATCTTTGCCATCCCAGGTATATTGTCCGCCATCTCAAGAAGCTCAATCTCTGAAAGCCCATCGCATATTCTCCACGAGAATTTGACCACGCAGCTGAGGGTTCTGTCTTTATAGCAACTTGTTCCCCTACAAAGGTATGCCTTCTGTTGAGAGATTGGGTTGGGATCCAAGGTGAACTTCCGTATATCCTTCGACCCGGGCACCTCGAGATGAACTATCATATCTTCACCTTCGTATTTGACGTTGGGGTCAAGACCAAGTTCCTCATCGTTCATCAGCATGTATGTCACCAAGACATGCACGAGCTTCTCTGGTGATTTGCCAATATCAATATATGAACAAGAATACGGTCCCGATCGGTCGTATACCCAAAGTTGCAGGTCTTTCTCGAAGAGGATGAACCCGTGCACGAATCGACGAAGTGGCTGAGCCATGAACACTTCCCGCATGTATACACTGAGCTGAAGAAACTTTTGCCGAGAAACCTTAGATGAAGATACCGTAAGTTCACCCACCACAAGAATATCCCGCCAATGATGCCTGTCCTCAGTCGGAAGGTTTCGACTTTTGATGAAGTAATCTACCTGTCGCTTTGTCTGGTTTCCAATGATTTTTCCGGCTGCGAGAGTGTGAAATTGAGCCCCAGTGAAAGCTAATCCAACCCGTTCTTCTGCAGTATTTGCAGCATCATTTGTTGCCGAATCACTTGGGCTTCGATAGGCTTTGATTAGGTCATGCTCGATAACCTGCATCCATTTCCATACCGCATCTTCAGTCGGGACAGCGGAAAACTGGAACTTGGATTCTGCCGATAGTTCCATAAATTTCTTGGTAAGGCCGTCACGCTCGACCTTTATCCGCTTTGACTCAAAGTATTTATCCCAAAAGCCGATCACGTTCACAAAAACCGAGCCTTCCAACTCTCCGCTCAAAGCTTGCTTCAGATCCTCCATGTTCATTTGTGCCCCGTCAGATGATTCTAATACTCGTCGGTAAATGGATTCGGTAGCTAGTTCTTCGAGCTGATCTTCTGTAGCTGACATGATCTTTTCGAGTTCATCAACAAGCAGTATGAGTGAGTTCCAAATTTCAAGGTCAGTCGCTTGGTTCAGAATTAAAGTTGCTACTGGCTCAAAAGGGACCAAGTCAAAAGTCGAGGAGTACATCCAGCTTTCTATAGTTCTCAACCGTGAGAGAAGTTTTTTAACCTGAGTAGGTGTATCGAAACTCCTTTGAATGTAAGCAATGAACTTAAGAATGAGGTCTTCAAGAGGATCCCGACATTCTTTTAGACTTTTGGGATTGTCGAATACTCCATCGCATGAATTGTTGAAACATAAACTATATAAGCCCCGGAATGATCTCAATACTTTGTCAAGAGGTTTCTTGGCAAGATGTGCTGCAATATCCCTGTTAAGAGAAATAATTTAATCGCTGCGTGAGGAGAGGCTTGCGTATCGATATTCTGGAAGGAAAAGATGGGTATGTGAAGAGTAGGACTGATCAAGTTTGATTAGGGCTGGTAGAAGGGGAGAATCGGCGAATTTATACATCGCAAGCTCTCGTACAAGTAAAGCGTCCTGACGATCTGTACATGTATATGTTATCATAAACGATGTGCAGTTCTAGCACTCACTTCAGAAAATGAAAGTCAATATTATTTTTATTATCCCTACCATGGATCGACTTGGCTTGGACGCTTTTTTGATTGAACGATTGGTAGCGGAATCCTTGCAATGAAAGTTCCACTTCAACTAGCCAAAAAGGCCAATTGATAGCTCATGCACGTCAGCCTCAGGGACAAAGTTGAGGTTATAATTTTTGTTAGTAGATTACATTATCCATTACGTGGGCCAGCATTAAGAATGTATTTATTCAGGTTATAAATCTTGCCAGCGACCAGTCTCCATCTGCGAAAGTAACCTGACAAGCTGGGGGCTGATTCGAAAAGCCAGAAGCTCTTTTATTCACATAGATATCAGTAATACAATAGACTGATTCGTTCAGAAGAGACCTTTCAGATTTAAAATTGATTAAACTCTCAACTCCACGTGGAGTATGAAGTGTACCAGAAAGTCTACGGGCTTATCACATTACATGGGTAAAATCAACTCACCGCTCTCTGGGCGGTAAAGCAAACATTGGTTTTTGTGCGCATTTTGAGATAGGTCTGAAATTCTAGATAACCTGTCGTGCGACTCTTTCCGAGGTTTGTCGAAACGAATAATGATTGAGAATGAAGACTAGGAACATGGATACAAGGCTCTGTTAAGCTTACACCAATGAAATATTGCTGTATTGCAGGTTTCCAAGCTTTCGCATTACGATATTTCTGAAATCGCATTGTAGTTTGAAAATTAATTGGTTGACTGCTCGTACCGCGTCATACATGGATCCGAATGACCCCTAATTTTAGAATTTACTTCTTTATCACAAGTACAAGTTTGAGAGTGAGAGCTTGCGGTACATGTAAAAGTTGAGGATATGAATTACTCATAACCACTCATTTGCTAGTTTCTTTTTATGGTTTTGTTTAGCTCCCAAGCTAATGCATGAGGTCCACTCTGCGGCAGTAAATATGGAGCCGGCGGAGATCTTTGATCACAGTCCAACTCATCCATTAGTTGTAAACTTCCACTGACATTTTAAAAATTTCCTACAGTATTTTGTATTTTTTTTTTTGCATCAGATTTTAATTGCGTATGCAGCTATCTAGCTAAGACACAATATCAAAGAAAAGTACAGAATAGATGATTCATTGTTAAGGAAGAGCACTCATGCCTCAGATTTCATTTGCAAGTACCACTGCGAAGTTATGGTGGCTTTTTCTTCACCCCAAGTCAACCCTCATCCGTGAATACCCACGCAGGGGAACGTCTCAAAAACCCTGAGTTATCTAGACATGCCTCCATCATCTTTCAACTTTTCTCCGCGCGATATGTGATCTGAGATGTCTCCTTCCCAAGTGGAGTAGGTGCCCAGGCTACTCAAACCATACCAGAGAACACCACAAGGAGCCGGACCACGACACCTTCCATCGTCGGCTTGTTTTTATAGTGTCAGCTGCACTCTCGCAAGCGAAGTCTTGGCGCGTACAAAGTTCAATTCGTAAAACTCTTGCCAAAATTCGGAATTTCACTCCCTTCAAGGTAATATCATTCCTTTGCATCATCTTGTAAACTTGTCCTGATTCCTCTCACGTCCATCCCAAAGAGCTATCTCCTAGATTTGTGCTCCACGCTTTGCTTCCTCCGTCGGGTATAAATATCGGCGTGGGCGTGTATTTGGTGACCGGCTGAGGCCAGAGAAAGTCGACGAGAGATGTGGTCATTGAAACGTGGATGTACTAGGTCGTACTTGTAGACTTGATGAAGATTAGTTGAGAATCGGACTCTTTGGGAGTGAAAGATTGGCATGGAGTAATTTGAATTTTTGCCTCGTGGGCCAACTTCTTTGACATTGCGAAATTTGACTGAACTTGGCTCTGGGAGAATATATACTCCCAGGTTCGTAGAGGACACCGCGTACAGGTGTTCAGTCTTGCCATCCCTATGCTAGCGTTGTTTACTGCTGTTAATCGGAGATCCCGCACGGGCTATCCATTGGGATTAAAAGGAGTCTGGTACCTGTGTTTAGTTGAGTTGTCGAATTGACAACCTTTTATCCTCCATTATTGCATAAGCTTCCCTCTACCAATATGTCCACGAATTAAGTAATGGGTTATACATGTCAATATTACTTCTAATAAATCTACTGAGCAGCAGATATATACTTAAGTCCGTGCATTATGAGTATCACGTAGCTATCTTGGCTAATATATATATATATATATATATATAAATATATTTATTAATTGGGAGGAATTCTATTGCAGTATGACGGTATAAAAGACGATGGAATTAGTACAGTGGATTGAGGTCAGATAGAATCAGATATTCGAGTTAACTAAAAGTATACTAAGATCGAGACAGCCAGACTCCTAAGTACAAATTTTTCTCCACGCGACTGATCTGCATGAATAGCGTAATTGACGCGACTCATGTGTTTGACTCTGCCTGACTCGGATTGCCCCTGTAGCAGCTAGACACACCTTGTCATTTAACACTCCCCCTCAAAGGTTGTCCTGACTCTAGTCTCCTATCAATTGTTGTTTAGTAGATACTATCACGGGGACTTGTGTACAGTTAATACCAAGCTGTTCAATGAATTTCTGGAACTTCACTCTTGCCAACGGTTTGGTCATACCGTCTGCTACCATATCATCAGTAGGAATGTAATCAACTGCCAACCTCCCCTTTCTGGCGAGATCACGAATAAAGTGATAGCAAATATCGATATGTTTTGACCTTTCATTCAGATATGCGTTTTCAATTAGCGCAATTGATCCTTGGTTGTCTCCGAGAATTTGGACTAGTGCAGGGTTTTTCCCGATATACTTTGGTAGTCCGAGGTCTCGAAATATTTGAGCAATCCATTGTCCATGTTTTGCACACATTGATAGAGCAATATACTCAGCTTCACAGCTTGATTTTGATACCGAGCGCTGCTTTTTACTCGACCAAGAGATTGGACCACCATAGAACATGGTGACGCTTCGTGAGGTATTTTTACGGTCATTTTTATCACTTGCCCAGTCGGCATCCGAATAGACCATAAAGCTACTGTATTCTCCTCCGAGACCGTAATGGATCCGAAATTTTATTGTCGACTTCAAGTATCGGAAAGCTGTTTTGAGTGCATATCCATGATGTTCTTCGGGATCACTCATGAATTGACTGAGTTTTCCAACTGCAAAAGCAATATCCGGCCTCGTGACGGTTGTGGCATACATAAGGCTTCCAATTGCTTGCTGGTATTCTGTAACGTCGATTCTTTTGTCATCACTTGTGGCGGGCCGTAAGTGTTCATATCCAGTGAGTGGCACTGTTTTTGGCTTGTGAGCACCTTTTCTGAATCCAAACTTTTCCAACACGTTTTGAATGTATTGTTCTTGGTCAAGATATAGGGTCCGGTTCTTTCTATCTCGCATGACCCTAGCTCCAAGTATCTTTTCTATCTCCCCCAGATTCTTGTCGATAACTTTTTATAGAACCGATCCAAATGTTTTTGAGACTTAGCCGATGCCACAATGTCATCAACATAAACCAATAGACTTGTACCATTGTCGTGAGTAAACATGCACGGATCGGCAAGGCTTTGTGTGAATCCCCATGTCAGTAACGAATCTTTGATCAGACAGTTCCAGTCTCTTGCAGCTTGTTTTAACCCATATAAACTTCAAAGTGCTTTCCAGACGTAGCCTCTTTTAATTGAAATCCCTTTAGGTGGCTGAAGAAAAATGTCCCCTTTAAGATGAGATTCTGTAAACGCATTCTTGATATCATAATGGAAACATTCTAAGTCTTCAGTAGCAGTGACGGCAAGAAATAATCGAAGTGTGTCCATTCTTACTGTTGGAGCAAATGTTTGATTATAGTCAAGACCATGAATCTGACTGAATCCACGCGCTACCAGTCGGGCTTTAAAACGTTCATTTGAGCCGTCGGTATGAGTCTTAATTGTGTATACCCATTTGCAGGATACAAGATTTACGTCTTTTGGTGGTATGACTTCAACAAATGTATTATTTTTTCGGAGTGACACCATTTCTTCATTCATTGCCTTTTTCCATTCTTCTGAGTAGGATGGGTCTTTCGTTGCTTCTGCAAAGCTAGAGGGAATTTTTATACCCGCAATTACCTCGGCTGGAAGTGCAGATTCTACATCTTTATCATGTGGCTGATGCAATAGTGAACTGTTTGTTAGATTATTTCTTCGACTTTGAATCAATTGTGCAATGAATGCCTTGACACGTTTGGAATCTCGAAGCGACTCAGTTTCTTGCTGAGAGGTACGTTTCTGAACGGTGGAGCGTGTAAAGTATCTGTGCCTTTGCCGTGGGAATAAATGTTTTGAGGTCGAAAAATTGTGATCAAGATTAGTGTTAGCTAATGAGGTATCTACGTTTGAATTCTTTGTCTGAGAATTCAATGACAATGTTTCTGTTGAATGATTAGCATCAACTGGATATTCTTCCTCTAATTCATCTGAATCATTGTCCATAGCAAGTTTCTCAACATCAATTTTTTCTGCTTCGCCATCACTCATGTTTTCTTCGTCGTCTTGTGAAATTATCTCCTCGTAAGGTTGACAATTTGTATTTTGGTGTTCACAATTTCCATTTATCTCATATCTGTCATATACTTCTCCTGAATCAGAGTCCGTATCGATGTCTGTTTCTGAAGCCAAGTTATCACTTTCAGGTTCTTTTTCCAGATCCATATCAGGCGCGCTCAGATTTTCTAAGTGCTGATCGTTGATTAAGGTCTTCTCTAAGTCTTGACGAACGTTTTCACTGCTGCGAGCTGCTTTGTGGAGAGTGGGC